CAAATTAAAAATATTGCAGATCAGGAGTGGAAAGTTATGTTTGGGCCTTTCACCTATGAGTTTGTCAATTGTAGGTTTTTTTTTTTTTTGGTTTTTTAACCAATCTTCGTTAAGAGGAATAAAAAGTAGAAAACACCCCACAAATTCACTTGAAAACATTGAGAAGCGAGAAATTTTAAAAATATGATGGCTGTCACTTTCTTATAAATACAGGGTCTAGTCGCATTGTTGATTCTCTTGCCCATTCTGAATGAGAATCGAGACGATCAGTGATTGATTATGATCCAATTTAGTTAATGGGAAAGCTTTCGATGTTTCTCATACAACATAGAAGTTCTATGTTCCCCTTATCCAACTGTCCATTTTGTAATGGAGGGTTAAGATTGCTCCAATCAATGTCATGTCTCTACATTATTTTATTTTTAATTTTTTTTCTATAAACTGTTTTGACACCAAATTTTGGACGTCCATTCCTATATTAAACTTGCACTAATAAAAAAAAAATGCATATATTTTTAATAAAATAAAATGACCAAAATACCCCTGAAAATTTTAAAGGGTATTTTGGTCATTATTTTTTATCTAAAAAGTATTGTTAATCTTTTTTATAGGTGCGCCCCAATGGGAAGATGGCACGTACCAAATTTCATATTAAAAAAAATTGTATTAAAAAAAATTAAAAATAAAATACTTTGAGATGTCGGATCTAAGATCAAACGATGAGTGGCTCTCTTGATAAAAAATGGACGGCTCGATGGTAGGGGAACATAAAACTTCTATATTGTAAGGGGAACAAAGAAAGCTTTCCCCTTTAGTTATTGCAATTCTGAATCGGAGTCCTATATCACACTATTTTTGACAAAAACCGAATAATCAATATGCTCCTGCAGGAGAATACTTATGACCATTCCCTCGCAAAAGTTGCCTAGGAGGATATCCAAAATTTTGGGGTCTATATAGGTATTGCTAGATTATTATTTTCGAGAAAAATTGCTTTTGAACATTTAGAACTATGTGTCGAAAAATTGGACGGTTCTTGTTAAATATTCGAACATCATTTTATTTGGACATATAGAGAGAGCGCGATTTTTTTTTTCTCCCCTGTGAGGTTCGTTTCTCTGTTCAATCTCCAAATTTTAGATCCAAAAAGTATTCATAACTTGATTTTTGCCTCAGCAAGCAAATGGACAATATGCTCCCGGGAGAGAATAAAATCTATTTAATAGACCAATAAAATACTCTAATAGAAAAAGTTTACATAAAACAATCAAGGTAAGGTAAATCTTAAAAACTTACTAGAAGAGGCTGTTTTGGTACTTAAAAACCCTCAATTTGATCATCTCGACCTCAAGATGTATGGACAAGAGGAAAAATAGATCTTAAAAATTTTAAGTACTACATCATATAATATATTTTCTAGGCCATCATAAAGATTTATGATATTGAAACAACATATTTGCACTACTTGAATGTGTGCCTTACCTTGATTGTTTAGAGCCTCAACCTTTTTCAAACCACACTGTATTATTATTGGACAATTGTATTTGAACAAGATAAAAGTAATGAATTTCTCAAATCATATATTTTTAATATACTAAATTAATATATTAGTTCTTATTAAATTAAAATTTAAAAAAATTTAAGAAATTTGAAGATAATATTATACAAAAGAAACATAAGGGATTGTATACCTTGAGACCATTTATCTTTATAGCTTCTATATCAAATTGAGTAGCTTGGGGTGTCACAAAGCTTGAGAAATTACTTTTTTGGAATTTTGACTCTAGTCAATAACAGCCTTACGACTGCCTGATTTGAAATTTGAGGGATAAGAGTGATTATAATATTTTGTACCAAAAATAAATGACATTTTTGTATATTTTTACAAAACATTATTTATATTTGGGAAATTATCGTTAATATACCTAAATTTTAATAAAGTCGCAAAAAAAATTCCAACTTCCCAAAACCTCACCGACACCCTTTTTCTCAATTTTGGACTTTTTTTTGACAAAAATACCCTTTACAGTAATCTTTCTACCGTAATACATTTTGTTCTTTACGGTAATTTAAATACCGTTACAAATTGAGATAGTATTACAATATATAAAATACCGTAATAGTATAAAGTTATATTACGGTACTCGAAGTACTGTAATAACTAATCTTCTTTTTACGGCATTCTTAATACCGTAATTATTTGAATTATTACGGTAATTAAATTACCGTAATGTGGTGAAGTCCTTACCGTATTTTTATTACCGTAATAGGTTAAAATGCTTCAAACCAAAACTAATATCAAAGTCATCCCTCTCCTCCCTATCCTCCCCGTAATTGTCCGCAAAGAATACTTTGTTTATCCCTCTCCTCCCTATCCTCCCCGTAATTGTCCGCAAAGAATACTTTGTTTATCCCTCTCCTCCCTATCCTCCCCGTAATTGTCCGCAAAGAATACTTTGTTATCCCTCTCCTCCCTATCCTCCCCGTAATTGTCCGCAAAGAATACTTTGTTTACAGAGTGAAATACATTCTTGTTTCATTATTGTAAGTGGAAAGTCGTACACGGAACCAGAACTAGAATGCAAAATAATATAACTTCTCTCTAACCCATTTACATTCCTTTTAACAAATCTCTTATAATACCTGTAGAAACTTGAAATGAACATAATTCATAGAAAAATGGTTACTCCCTTGTTAGGCAGGAGGGTCCCATTGGTTCTTTAGATCTCCTCTAGCATCTGTGTGCTCTGGGGATAATTCAACATGGACACCGACTACTATTAAAGAGCCTAATGATCCTAGTCGGCAATTAATTGAGTATTTAAACAAAGTATTTTTTGCAGACAATTACCAATTTACCAAAGTAATAGGATCCATTTGCATACAATTTTTCCATCTTTCTCTCTCTAATTGACATTCCTTCTCTCTCTATAGATTTGGTACCAGAGTGTTTGCTGTGGTATCTGGTGGGCAAGCGTCAGAGAAAGATGAGAAGACAGAAAAGAACAACAATGGAAGTTGAACGATAAGTCTCGCTCATTTGGAGGTATATTATCATGGTCTATGCGCTTGTTTCTAACACTTCAACTCTGTGCATATTGTTTTTTACTTTAATGGGTTTATGGGGTTCAGGGAAATAGATGGTTGTGGGATGTTGAGGGACTGAATGTTCTTGTTAATCCAATATTGGTGGGTAACCTTGATTTTGGAATTTCATGGCTCTAATGATGCAGCCAAGAAATTCACAGGGAGGAGAGAGGTAACTTTGATATTAGTTTCGGGTGGTAACTTTTCAACTTATTACAGTAAGAATACCTTAAGGACTTTACCACACATTACAGTAATTTAATTACCATAATAATTCAAACAATTACGACATTAAAAATGCCATAAAAAGAAGATTAGTCATTACGGTACTTTGAGTACCGTAATATAACTTCATACTATTACGGTATTTTGTATACCATAATACTATCTCAATTTGTATCAGTATTTAAATTACCATAAATATCAAAATGTATTACAGTAGAAAGACTGCCGTAAATGGTATTTTCGTTCAAAAAAACCAAAAAAAAAAAAAAAAGGTGTGGGCAAGGTTATGAGAAGTTAGAGATTTTTTGTAATTTTTTTAAAATTTAAATACATTAACAATAATTTCCCTTTATACATACACCACTATTTGTACAAGTCTTCCGTCTTAAATTCCTTCATAGATCAATTTTGGATAAAAAAGTTTAGGTTAAGATTCTCCAACATGGTGAACACAAATATAAAAGGGTTGGCATACGTCCACAAGTTGGGGACGCTTAAAACGTGCACAGGCACCTTTTAAAATATAAAAAAGTATTACCAAAATTAATAGCTTTCGGTAGTTTAAAAGCCAGTGATACGGAATCGGTTGATTGGCCAAACCGGTTATGGGATGGATAGTATGGGTCTAATCTTAGTAGATATTTTGTTAAGTCCCTAAAATCCCAACCTCATAAATCCTTAGTTTTAATTTAATTTATTTTTTAAAATATTTTTGAATTATTGATTTGGACCTGTTTAAATCGATCCAGATTACCAATCCAATGATTTGACATAAAATATGTAGGGTAAACGATCCACCGAAGGCTTTAGAACACGGGCCTTACACTACATGTCTTGTATCGTGACATGATAAATTCTTTAAATTTCTCCCTTTCTGCATTAGGCAGATTTTGAAGCTAGTTTCCTAAAATCTTCAAATCGATCATCTCGATTTCAAGATGTATAGACACAATAAACAATAAATTTCAATAGTGCATCTTATAATGCAATTTTTAAACCGTTAATTTGCAAGTTTGTATAGATTTGCTTGATCTAAACTATTTTTAAAGCTTTAAATTTTATAATTAGATGTAAAAACAAATTTGCAGGCCATCACAAAGATTTCTAGTACTAAAACAACATCTTTTAATACTATTTGAAGGTGTGCCTTACATTGATTGTTTAGGGCCAACATCTTTATACAAACCACACCCAATATATATTAATGTTTTTGTTTTCCTTTGATGCTTCACTCGCACAACTTTTTCTTTAAGGAAATTTACAAAAAACGCTTAAGACAACACTTTTTATGCAACTTACCCCGACTTAACTTTTTCTTTCACTTGTTTTCTCCGAAACAAACTTTCTATACAAATACTCCGAAGGGAAAAAATTCATTTTTTTAGACGGAATTGCCCTTTGCTTATACAAAAATCGTTTTGGCCTTGAAGTTGACTTTTGCACTAGTAGCACATTGTCGGAGCACACCGGAGCTCACATGTCGGACTGCCCTAAACTAACTACCAAACCGCCCTTTGCAACTGCCTTACACTGTGCCGGAGCCATACTGCCGGACCGCATTTCAATTGCTTTACACCGTGCTGGAACCACACTTTACATAACCCTACTGCCGTACCGTACTTTGCTGGAGCCCTAATGTCAAGACTTTACATAGTGTAGAAACCCTACTGTCGTACTGTACTTTACACATTGTCGGAGCCCTACTGCCAGACCGCACTTACATAATGTCGGAGCCCCTATTTTGGTGGGATATATTGTCTAAGCCCCACTTTGCATAACCCTACTGCCGTCTCGTACTTTACACAGTGCCAGAGCCTTATTGTCGAACTTTTTATATTGTCGGAGCCCTACTGCCGTACCGTACTTACATAGTGCTGAAGCTTTCCAGTCGGGACTTTCAATAGTATCGGAGCCCTATTGCCCCGTACTGTACTTTACACATTGTCGGAGCCGTACTGCCGGACCGTACTTTACACAGTACCGTAGCCCTACTGCCGAACCGCCTACTGCCGTATCGTACTCTACATAGTACCATAGCCCTACTGTCGGGATTTTAAATAGTGTCAAAACCCTATTGTTGTATTGTACTTTACACATTGTCGAAACCCTACTGTCGAACCACATTTACACAGTGCCGGAGCCCCTATTTTAGTGAGATATATTATCAAAGTCCTACTGCCCGATCACACTTACACACCGCACTCGAAGCCTTACTGTCGGACCGCACTTACGCAGAGCCCCCGGACCGCACTTACAAAAAGCCCCTATTTTGATGGGATAGAAGAGAGAGGCATGGCTAAAGTAATAGTAACGACCGATAATTTAGGTATTTTTTTAATTTTTATTTTGTAACGGGGTATTTTGCATAAAAAGTGTATTTTGAAAAAAATAAAAAAAAAAACACCAACGTTGGAGGTAAGTTACATAAAAAGTGCAGGTTTGTTTTATTTTTTTATTTGTAATTTCACCTTGATTTATCATGACCGCAAGGCAGCGTTTGTCATCATCATTTCTCCTGGATTTGTCTTTTAATTCATTATGCTCTGACGAACAAATGAATACAGGGGCATCGTTAGTGAGCTCAGATGAATTTAGAGACAGAGACGTAGATCCCTCCTTCCACACTATGACATATATACAAATGATGACTAAAAATGTTATTTACACAAAAAAAAAAAAAAAAAAGCAGACAAGCAAGAGCACATCAGCAAAGTGGAGGAGGAACCGGGAAGTCGTCTAAGAAAAAGAGATCATCCAAAACTTCATTCTCACTCCTCTCTCTCTCCTCCCTCCAAATCCCATTCCCGCTCCTCTCTCTCTCTTCCCACCAAACCTCATTCTCACTCCTCTCTCTCTCTTCCCCCACCCCACACTCCAAAGCCAACAACCTCTCCAAACTCGCCACCGACCACGACAAACCCTCCTCCTCCTCCTCCTCCTTCATACCTCCGTACGCCGGGAAATCCCCATTTCCGGTAGCTGATAAATTTTCAGGCCATATTTTTTCAGCAACCGAATATGTAAGAGAACCCATTGTTTCTATATTTTTCATTCCAGTCTTTTGCTTCTTTTCCGGTGGGTTTTGGACGTCGGGGAAATTGACTTTTGCTTTGTCTCCCCTAATTTCGCGTGCGGCTTCGTCGTAAGCCCTCGCTGCTTCTTCCGCTGTCCCGTACGTGCCAAGCCATACCCGTACGCCTTTTCTTGGATCTCGAATCTCAGCCGCCCATTTTCCCCATGGCCTCTGCCTTATACCCCTATACACGCTCTTTCTTTCCTTTGAGTTTGCCCCTGAGTAAAGGGAAAATTGCATTCTTTTTAATTGTGAGAAAATCAGCGAAGGAGAAGAATTTTATAAGATTTATGTTATTCCTTATTTAGTTACCTACCTTTTTATAGAAATGGATTAAAATTTTTGTAGCCGACTCTAATTAATCGAGATAAAATTTGAGTAAGATGATGAATCTAACTTTGCTTTGTTTTTGAGTGGTGATTTAAAAATAAAAATAAAAATAAAAAAACCTATTAATTATTGAAACTGACTTAGAATTCCAAAATTAAATGTGTTTGGGCAAGAATGAATAATTTGTCAACTAATTTGTTACCTGGCGTTGAAGAAGACTTATATTTATTCGCTTGAACGCGAGGCTTCTTTCTGATTTCCTTTCTAGTCACTGGAAAACCCTGCTTTTGCCCTGAGGTCGAGTCACTATCAGGACTCGTCGGGAAATCGAAGTATGGACCGAGTTGTGACCAGAAATCCTGACGCGTCAGGTTCCGGCCTCTCTTCACCGGAATAAAATCGGAAATAATCGCACCTCCACACATTTTCTCTTCTCCAACTTTCTGCGTCGGTCACTTCGTCGCGGACCGGACCTTTATTTATAGACTTCACCTAACCCCAAAATTTAGCAAAAAATACGAAAAAACTAAATTCATTAAAAACAATATGTTGACCAGTAGGAAGCAGGGCCGTACGAGAATAGTGGGACCCACAATGACACGTCACTAGCAAGATGGAGGGCCAGGTTCGGGGTTTCTGGCGACGAACCCGTACTAGATAAATGCCACTTGGGATCAGGATCCCGGATTTCCCGTTACGCAGCCGTCGGCTTGTGAAGGGAGGGGTTCGTAACGCCTGAGGGGGTTCCGTCCAAGGGAAAACGGGGAGGCGTTAGGACTTGCTTTTGTCCCGTAGTGGAGATTTGTCGGTAAGTGGGAGGGTCCCAGATGCAACTTGGAGGGCGACAGGTCCGTGATGTGAACATTTGGGGAAGGTGAGGTCTAATGAGAGTACCCTCGTTTTTTGACAAAATATCGGAGATACCGCTTGCTGCTGTGGATCACGCTTTCGAATAGGAAAAAGTTTATATAAGCTTAAATAATCAAATTAAGACGCGCTTTAAAAATTTATTAGAAATAGTTGTTTTGATGGAAAAAAAAAAAAACTCCCACTCATCAAGATATACGGATATAAAAAAAAAACTTTCAAATTTTATTAATAGTGTATATTGTAATGCATTATCTAAACAGTCAATTTTCAATATTTTCAAGTGTTCATAGGCATGTTTCATCGATGCTATTTTCAAAGCTTTAAATTTTATAATCAGAGATGAAAATAAATTTTGAAGCCATCAAAGAGATTTTTTATACTGAAACGACATCTTTTCATACTATTTGAATGTGCACCTTATTTTGATTGTTTAGGGCCTCAACCTTACGCAAACCATATACTTTCTAATAATGTTGGACTCCTTTAGGACCCGTTTGGTATTTTCACATGAAAGAACTAGTCTATGTAATTAAGTATTGGAGTTTTTTTCATATCAATCGGTCCCAATGTATTATTATATACTAATTGACAACCAATTAATATAAAACATCTCATATACCTAACAAGATGGGAGAGTTCTTTTACACGGAAATATTATCACAAAAATATTTTCTCACATATCAGATGGGCCCTTGATAAAATCCTTTACCACAAATGATTTTCTAGATTGGTTTATTTCATTAGATCGTTCTATCCATTGGTTTTTATGTTTTCTTAACGGGAAAAGTTTATATAAGGGTGAGGCCCTAAACAATCAAATCAATGCACACTTCAAAAATTCATTAGAAGAAATTGTTTCGATGCCAAAAACTTTATCAAATTGATCTTATCGACCTTAAGATGTGCAGGTATGAGGAAAAACGGTTAGCAACCCTTGAAAATAGTAAATTTTATAATATAATTTCTAGACCGTCAATTTTCAAGATTTTCAAATGTTTATAGATCTATTTGATCTCTAAAAAGCCCTTCAATGTCCTAGAAATCTATTTTCAACCTAATAATGAAATTAAAAGCTCAAAAAATGGCATAGATTGAGCAGATCTATATGCTCTTGAAAATGTTGAAAATGAACGCCTCAGATAACGCATCACATGATGTGCTAATTTCATGGCTTGAAATCATTTTTTTCTATATTAATGATCATGTGGAGGGAATTTTTAGAGTTAAAACAACCTTTTACAAGGTTGAAACTTTTTCCCTTTTCAAAACTATTTTCATGGGCTTCTTCACCGGGCTTAGACAATGTGTATGCAAAATCTGAAACCCCCAAAATGGGGAAGAGCATAAAATGTACCAATCTACTCCAGGGTGGATCAAATGTTTCCCATTGTGGTAAGGGAAAACATTAAATCCAGCTGATGGCTGCACGGGTTATGCCCCTTTTCATTTTAGGGGCCTTGTGTAGAACTCTCCTTTGTCCCAAATTTGGAACACACATTCAAGATCCGATTTCCATTACATAAGCAATCTGCCCATTGTAGTAAGTTAAAATTTTTCTCAATATCACCCACTCTATTAAAGACCCCCCAATAAAATCCATTTGAACACTTGCAAATTCTTTAACCCTAGATTATTGGATTTGAAGAAAGCAGTGCAAATGGTACCGATTGAGAATCCAATGAGAGAATATCTTATTTTTTGGATAATTCAGTGGGAAAAACATACCCCTATCTGCTTTTTCAAATAGGTTAGGAGTTAGTTTTTAGAAGGTATTAGTAAGATGATGTCAGTGGGAATAGAACCACAACGTGGTAACTAAGGTGTGGGGGCGTTACCACGACCCCAGTCCCTTCCCATGTCGTGAGATATTCAAGATGGAGCATTTTTACTTCTTGTGAGGGCAATCCCTAATATTCAACACGGAGCATTTTTAGGGGTTTTAAGTCGATTTTATTTTTTAAATCTTGATCTTAGGGGTTACGAAGATGGATTTGCTTACTTTCGGATCCTAAATCATAAAAAATAAGAAGAAATACTGGGGCAACACACTTTTTTAATAGTCATCCGCCTCACTTACTTTTAATTTAGTAATTTTATTATTTGCTAAAGAATACTAAAGCCAAATATTAAAAGTTCTCTTTTACGCCATAGTTATGACTTAATTGCCCGAGGTATGCGTAACCACATTTTACGGTATACGGAAGGAGACAATGCCAGTTCTGATGCATAGAACTCACATTTTACTGTAAGGGTGAAGTATGAGTTTGAAACGTAGTGTAGCAACCTAACTTTTCGAAGTATTACAAAGTTCAAAAGGGCCAAGTGCGTGAGAGGTACACCAAAAGAAAACGCTTTGGCCCAATCCTTTGAGATCATTTATCTTTCTTACAAGCAGGTCATAATTACTTCTAATCATGAGCTGTCAAATTGGATGCTTGGATAATGTTACAAAGTTTGAAAAATAATTTTTGAACTTTAAATCTAGTCAATGACATTCTTATAATTGAAAGAAGAACTCATGTGATGTAGCCAGAGTATATAATACTTTTTTTTTTTTTCAATTTTTTTTTTTTCTTCATGGTCTATATCACTTAGAAGTAGTCATTTTACAATATAATAACTTCAAATAAAATAAAATAATAAAAAAAAATAATACAATAGGATCTCAAGAACTTGAAGCCATTTAAAACTTTTTTTTTCAATAACAAATAAAAAACATAATAAATAAATATAAAAGAAACAAAAAAAGGTTTCCGAGATTACCTCAACCAGACTTAGTACATCCATGCCGAGTCTCCTCATTCCAATAGTGCTCGGGATCTTTGATTGGTCTCTTGGTTTCTCTTTCTTATAGCAAAAGCCAATCAATGCACATGGATCTCAATCTAGAACTACCCACCTAAAGTCTCACCGCTTCGGCCTAATTCAAGCCCCTTGGCTTGAACTTTATGAGAGATAAAAATCAAGAAAGGAGGGAGAAAACTATTAGCTAAGGATGATCCATTTGCTAGCCACAAATCGCATAACCAAAACCTAGCTTGATTTAAAACCCATGAGATAGATTCCAGCACAACCTAGCCTAGCCTGTGCGTGCCCCCGTTAGGACAATTTATGAGAGAGAGAGAGAGAGGTAGGCTAAGGTGGGGAGTGACCCCTTAAGTTTTTTGAAGAGAGAAAAGGAGAGCAACGTATGTGGGGCATGCCCCTTAGAGAGGCTAGAGAGAGAGGGATTTATTTTAGAGAGAGAAGAGAGAGTAAGTAAGAGGTGTAGAGACAAGGGAAGAGGGTTTGTCATAAAATCGTAAGAGCAAATATTGATCGTCGATCTAAAGAGCCTTGTGGGATGACAAATGTGAGTCATCTATTCCCTAGATCCACCATCAAGATACTAAGGAAGGTGTTAGAACCTTATCCTCTTATTCCTAAACCTATTCCCATCAAATAAGTTAAATAATAAAAAATTTTCATTACTTTATCTAATAGTAAATATTCATTCATTATTTCTCAATCAAACCTTCATGATTCTCAAAATTTTATAAAACCACACCTTTCATTCCTCTATTGCAATTAGGCTTCTCTCCACAAAAAGAAAGACAACTAGCATGAGATGCCTCTAAAAATATTTAACAAGAAAGGCAATCCCCTATGGGTGGTGGGTGCCACCCTTTGGTGGCCACCATGGGCCCCACCCAATTGTCCCATATGATTTAAATGGTTCTTCATAATTATGGAGGGTCCCAAATATTTTAGAAATAATAAAAATTGATTTTTAAAAATTTTAAATCTCTTATAAATTGATTTGAAATTTATATTAAACGTTAGAAATAAATTTCTCTTGATTTATAGGGGTAATCTCTCGCACATGTACACGTTTTTATACTTATAAAAACGTGTATAGGGGTAATCTCTCGCACATGTACACGTTTCATCCTCAATGGTGGATTACTATCTCAGTACAATTATCTATGTATATGTCGTGTGATGATACAACGATGAGGTTTTAGTCTTGTCTCTATAGATTATTAATCACGTACAACTTCATCAAGGGCTAACCCACTAAACCCTCCTCGGTTTCATCTCTATGCCTAGGTACCTTGAGTTTTGTAACTCGGGTAGCCTAGCACGTCAATCCTAGTCTGAATATAAGCAAATTGCATTTGCCTAGTATGGTCCACAAGATGACCACACTCCCACTGAGTTTATAATTTATATATTCAAATATTTATACAATATCTCTTAAGGCTTTTAAATGCCACATAAACCCAATATCTCTCACTTGGCCTTTTGAGGCATTAAAATCTCTTTTCCTCATTTCTCAAATTACAATATCTGTCTCAAATAATTTTCAATTTTTTTTTCTTATTACATTAATCATGGCTTTAGTCATCAATCCTTTCATAAAGGACTTATGGAGGCAACGTCTCTTTTTCTTTGCAGCCCGAATCTCATCCCCAACGTGGTCGTAGTCCATCTTTTATATCGCAATGCGAATCATGGACTTGTTGTCGTAGAAGATCATCACGTACCCTCTTCACATGGGGTCATATCTTCATGGGCTTAAAGTAGTTATTCGATCAAACTGCTCCCTTATAT